AAAAATGTCCATTTTGACGAAATGGTCGTTCTGTGTGGTATATCACAGGGGCTCGTTAGACACTCCTCGGGCGCTCAAAAATCCCGAGGAAATGATCGTTCCATCTGTCCTCGGACAGAGTTCCTTGGAAACCGATGTGAAAACATTTCCTCGGGGTGTCCTCAGGGCGTCCTCGGGCCACAGCCATTTGGCTGCGCTCCCCGAGGTACCTCGCGAGGTCCCTCGGAGTGGGAGTTTCCGCGAAAATCGGGACGGCGGCGGCAGCCTTCGACGACGGCAGCCTTCGACGACGGCACAGTTTTGTAGTGTGGTACAACGGTGGTCCAGCCGAGGTGCGGGCGGACATTACCGCCCGGCAACGTTCGACTTCGGTGGGGACAGCGGCAACGGTAACGAAGAGTGGCGGACGGGGTCTGTGGAGGGCCCGAGGTGACCCGGCCCCTCGCGAGTGCCGGCGGGAAACGGACAGGCCTCCAATGGGCAGCCGTTTCGAAATTCGGCCCGTCGTCGAGAGCAGAGGTCCGCAATGTAAACCGGCGGAGGGCTTCATCAGCCATCACTTGCCGTCTGCCATTTGTCGCCCTCAGGTTGGCCGTTACGCTGCGGTTGTCTTACATGGCCGACGTGTTCCGCAAGCTGCGGCGGCTCCTCCTCGTCGTGATTCTGCTTGTCGTTGTCATCTTTGTTCACGTGTGCATATTGGGGAGGTTGCCTTCACGTACTTGCAGGAAAGGAGGGGCGAGGAAGAGCGTGGCCATGGACGGGAGGCGGCCGACTCTGAGGACGTTGTCCGCCCCTTATCCCGGCGACCGGGCTCCGATCTGTGCCGGTGTAGGCAGAAGGGCGGCAGGTCCGTCACCGTATGAAGGACTGCCGCCTCACTTGCAACCGCTGCCCGATTCGGACGAGGGGGAGGCGGAGGTGGACGTGTCGACGACAGTTCCACTGGGTAGCGGGTCTACCCAAGAGTGGACGGGTAGCCAGTTGTATGATCGCCGCGGGGCGAAGTACGGGCAGTCGTTCACTTCCCTCCTTCACGACGGCGCGGAGGAGGAGGATTGCCTTCCCCCCTATCGATCCCACATTTGGCCTCCGGAGCGGGAACCCGTCTTCTGTCACGCACACTGTGCTCGTGAACCCTCATCCCGACGACGACGCGGGGCAGGTCACATTCGGCGGCAGGGGCACGAGGGGCGGAGCGGCGGCAGAGGTGACTTCGGGGAAGACGACGGCATGGCCTCGAATGCAGGCAACTTCTGGCCCGTCAGTTCCATGCACTGTCGGGCAACGTCCTTAGTGGATGACCCTCAGTCCTCCGTTGTCCGGGGGGCGCGACGACGTTCATCGTCCCGTAGATCGGGCTGTGACTCACGAAGACTTCCCTTCCGAGGGCGCGCATGGAGATGGCAGGCGGGTGTGGAAGGAGGCGAGGCAGGAGTTGCGGCGGCAGCAAGAAGAGTCCATAATGCAAGGTGTGGAGCATTTACGCGTGGGCGAGCGGAGTGGGCAAGCAGACGTGGCCGCCGGGGGGGGTTACGCGTGGACAAACGCTGGCGAAGTTCCGTGCGACGTAGACGACGACGACAGCGGCGACGTGTTCCCGTTGCGTGCGCCGAACATGGGTGGGAGGGGCGGCAGGGGCAGCACTTCGACTAGACCGGTGCGCAGGCGGACGAGATCGACGACGACCTCTGCAGACGCAGAAGGCGAGGGGGATGGGGAAGGAGGGCGGAATTTCTGTAGAACGTCCTGAACGAGCCCCAAGGCATGCACACGACTGCCGCTCGCGCCAGACAACAACTCCATCTCAATGTCGTCAACTAATCACACTAACTGGCCACCGTCGCCGCTTCCACCGCCCAACGACTCGCCCACACTAACAGGGAACGCCCCACTATCAACGCACCAGCCCGAAGCCGCGGATCGAGACACAAAAAGGAAAAACTTCCGAGAAACTCAAAATCGGACGGCATATGGCGCGGGGACTACGAGGCATGACTGTCGCTCTCCGCTCTGCGTCCCTCACTGCTGACCGAAAATTGGACGGCATGGCACATGTACTGCGCCCGTCGTCTCTCCGCACACTGCTTCCTCCCACCGCCGCCGTCAAACGTTCCTCCATCGATGCGGCCCGCAGCTCCCGCCGCCACGCGGCGTCCTCTGCTGTCATCGCCGCATCATTCGCTCTGCCAGCGCCTGGCGCAGCATGATAGCCTCCCCAGTAGAAGTTTCCATGCACAACGGCCTGGGGGGGCGATGGATCCCGAGATCCACCTGACGGCGAACTCCACTGGCGTCAACCTCCCACAGCAAGTTCTCATCGAAAGGGATGCTGGTGCCGATCAGGATGTTGTGCAAGATGCAGACGGCCACGAACTGCTGGGGCAAGGTCTCCATGTTGATCTTGTGCGAGCCTAGGAACAAGTGCCACATTCCTTTCAGTCTCCCGAATGCCCTCTCCACTGCCCCCCTCGCGGTCTTCTGCTTGCTGTCGAAACGACTCTCCAGGGGATGCTGCGCCATGCCGCCAAACGGGACAACCATCCATTCGCTCGGCGGGTAACCATTGTCGGCCAGCAGATAACCATTCGTCTGCACTTGGAACGGTAGCAGCACAGGAGGCCCTGTAAACAACTCTCCCCCCGCCGCCCGCGACCATAGAGTGGAGAGATGGATGGTCCGGACGTCGTGGCGGCTCCCCGGATATCCCACGAACACGTCCAGGATGCGCAAGTCCAAGTCGACCACCACTTGAGCAACGATAGAGACGCGTCTCTTGCGGTCGTAGTAGTCTTCTGTAGGTGCATTCGGCGGCTTGTCCACGTAGATATGGGTGCAGTCGATGCACCCATGGCAGTTCGGGAAACCCTTGTCCGCAAAAGCACGCAGAACGATCGCCTTCCGCCCCCCAGACGGCCACGCCACCTTCTCCTTGTACACCGAAAGCAGCGCAGCAGTAACGTCCCGGCGGCCACCAAACCTGAACCCCTGCCAATCCCAAAGCTGCAGCTGTTGCTCTCGTATGTCTCGCCCGACGCCCACCTGTACAGCGCGTAGGCGACGATCTGGTCTGGTCGCAACGGCTCCCTATAGAACGTCACGTCGCTGGAGAATCGGCGACAAGTTCTCAACGATCTCGCGGAAGACACGTGGAGACATCCGTAACTTGTCGCGGAAGTAATCGTCAGTGGCGTCGTCCGCAGGCCGAAGATCCTCCCAAGTCCCCCCCGTCCTCCTTTTTACCCACCACCTCGGCATCGCCCTCGGTAGTCCCCCACACCCCAGTGCACAGCACACCTCCAACACAGCATCACAGATGGCAGCGCTATCCAACGCTTCAGTCGTCGCCGCCGGCATCAACTTCCTTCTCCGAGCACGTACTCGTGCCCACCGCCGTTGACCTTTGACCTCCATGTCGCAATGCATGATGACGGCGGCTACGGCAGACCTCACGGCAGCCCTCTCCAGAGCGGACAACCAGGCCCTGACGTCATCCCCATCACCCACTCCACGCACATGGACTACCTCAGACATCGCAGTCATCCTCGCGGAGTGAACTCGCCCAACACTCGACCGGACGCCCCCAGCAATGGACACTGCCCACGAGCAAGTTGGCGGAGATGGCGGTCGTGCCGCGGTGCATGAGGACGAATGAGCAAGGCGGAACGCGACGCTCACAACAGTCGACGGAGGGCCACGGAGAGCCATCTCTTCAAATACTTGTGGAACATTGTGCTGACGTCACAACGGCTAGCGGCTCCCCTGCGTGACGCCCACTGCAAAACCCCTCAGAGTCCCCGATGGGGTCGCCCCAAGGTACCCGCATGTCCCCGCGGAACCACACCGCACGGCATGGTCGGCCGATTCGAAATTTGAATTTTGAAAGTACACGCGCGCGGATTTTTTTCCTCATTGCGGCGGCGGCAGTCCCTTTTCGAATTCGAAGGCCAAACGCGGTGGACCAGGGCCGCTTGCACGGACACCGGACGATGGACCACCGCCCAAACTTTCGTCCCGCGGCCGCGTATAAAATTATACGTCTCCCCGCAGCCAGTCCTCCGAGCATCCTCGGGCGTCGTCCCGAGGGAGCAGTGGAACGAAAGCGGGAAATTCCTCGGGCTGCCCCGAGGATTTCCCCTCGGAGCCCGAGGACGCGCCGAGGAGTGTCTAAAGAGCCCCACAGAAAGAATCCCCAAAAAAACAAAGAAGGCAGGTCAAGAAAAACAAAGAAGGCAGGCCAAGAACAGGGCCGAGTTCCGGATCCGGCCGGATACAGATCGGGGGCTAGGTCCCACTTTTACACGAATTCAGCTATATTGACCGTAGATAGCAAAGATCAACGGCCAGAATCTCTTAATCCGTGCACGTGGGACCTTGCCCCCGGACTGCAGGAATATCTACACGAATTAAGCGACATTGACCATAGATAGCAAAGATCAACGGCCAGAATCTCTTAATCCGTGCACGTGGGACCTTGCCCCCGCACTGCAGGAATATCCATCCCAAGTAGTGACACCACCCCCAATCACCCTACAACGTTTGCAAGGTCTCCAAACTATCCTATTCTTCTATAGTGATCTACCCTAACCCGTCCTACAATCAACGAGCAGGAGTGGATGTGCGGCCGCAGTGTGAGTATGCCCTGAATACGGGGGCAAAGAAAGAAAAAGAAAAAGGAAAAGAAAAAGAAAAAAAATCATTTTAAATGGACCCAACAGCAAAAAAAAATCCTTTGACATTTCGTTCTATTTCTTGTATTCAGCAGGCCTGGGGGATTTCAAGTTCTTTCGACGCAGCCAATGACTGGTCAATGAAGATGCAGGCGGCACATTTTCAACGGGTAGTACAGTACAGTCTGTGCTTTCTTCTTCCAACTGGTTGACGTAGTAGGGGTTGCTCACATTCACACTGGCTATATCTTATATGAATCTGACCACATTTACGGCCGTAGCTGGATGGATCTGACCGCAATTACGTCCACAATGCCCTTAAAGATGGAGGTAGCCTATCATACACAACCCAAGCCTTGCCCTTCTCTAAGGACTTGATCATCATTGGCCTGGAGGCCCTGGACGTCTTTGGGTTGGAAAAAAATTGGAAAAGAGAGCTGATTGCTATCTTTGTTAAATCACAGTTCGTTAATATCTTCCGCGCACGTCTACCTACCGGTCGGTAGTCATGAAGCCCGCTGGCAGTAGGAGCAGACCTGGGTCTAGACCAAACCCGATGGGGGGCAGCTATACCCCAACGTCAGGAGGGGGCTGGAGCGGTGTGGGGGAGGTGGCAAACACGCCCCCGCGGGGCCATTACCCAACAACGGAGGCAGAGGCACAGCTTCTGGATCTGCATCGAAAATACCGAATGATGGAGGGCAACCGGAAGCAGTACAGCGAAGACAGCCAAAGCGTCATCCGGCGCCAACGAACAAAGATCGAGAAGCTTAAGCACGACAACATGCTGCTGAAACAGGAGTTGGATGCCCTGTTCAGAGGGGACAATCCCGGCGCCAGCCACCTCGAAGCTCAGCAAGAGCTGCTCGATCTGCAGGATGTCGTCGACAGCCACATCCGTCAGATCGATGCCGAGAAACACAAGATCGAGCGAGTGGAGCAGTCGATCAACATGCTGGTGGTGAAAGCTCTGGAAACGAGGAGACAAATCGGCGGCGTGAACGCGTGCAAGGAGATGGTCCTGCATGGCAACAAGCACATCAAGGTGCTGGAGAACAGGCTGGAAAGGGCGTTGGTGAAATTCAATGAGACGCTGGCGTACAATCGCAACTTGCGGATGCAGATAGATAACCTGAGGAGGGAGAGAGTGGCGTTCGAGAGCCTGTACCAGAAGCTGGAGAGAGAGCTGCACGAGAAGAAGAAGGAGATGGCCAACGTGATAGAGATCTCCAACATAGCCTACGAAGCACGCGATCAGGCGCAGAACGAGATTGCCGCGCTGAAAGCTCAAGCGGACAGAGAGCAGCAGGCCTTCGAGTTGGAGTGGAAAGAACTGGGAAGACTCATCGAGATGGGGCAGAGAATACACGACATGATCAAGCTCACAAGCGGGAGGACTGCGCGCAAGAAGAGGATGGGCGATGCGGAAGAGAGGAAGAGGAGGAGGGGGAGCCTGAAGAGAGGCCGCGGCGACCGGGGATCGAGAAGCAGCGTGTCTGTCAACGTGCAGACCTACGAAGAGGCATTCACGAAGATCCATAAGGCGACCGGCATCGAGGATATCGACGAGCTAGTCACGCTGTTCATAAACACGGAGGACAAGAACTTCTCGCTTTTCAATTACGTGAACGAGCTGAATCAGGAGGCGGAGAAGCTGGAAGAGGCGCTGGGCGAGACCAAAGCTGAGATCGAAAGGTACAGGGGCCAAGGGCTCACCACGGATCACCAGAGGAAGAAGATCATCACCGAGTTGGAAGAAAGACTGAGGCAGATGGAGGAGCGGTCCCAGCACTTCGAGGGCAAATATTCCAAGGCCATGCGGTCGATCAATGCGCTGAAATTCCAAGTCCAGAGCTTGTTCAATCGGATAGGCTGCAACACTCCCTACGTGCGGGAGATCTTGGGAGAGGGAGGTGTCACGGAAAGCAACCTGCTTCAGTACCTTGGAATCATCGAGCAGCGGGCCAACGAAATACTCCTCATGTACGCCCTTCATCAGAACCGGGTGCAGAGCTCCAGCATCGACTTGTCGCCCATGCAGCAGCACCAGTTGCAGCACGTAGACCATCGGGTCCTGATAAACCAGGGCCCAAGTTCACCGTCGGGGGCGGCCCAGATTGCAATTGAGCCACCCGTCACGTCGGACGAGTACATGTCGGAGGAAGACAGTGACGAGGAACTGGATGATCGACCAATCAGCAGGAGCGAGCTCGTAGAAAAGGCAGTGCGACGAATACAAAAGCGCGAAGCCAGTGGGAAGATGAGGACGAACGTGCGGCGCACCAACACCAAACGATTTCAAGTTTCCTGAAGGCTGAAAAGGACGCAGGCTGCCCCGCCAGCATATTAATTAGTAGCTGCGGTACCTGGACTGGACGTTGGCCCAGATGCAGCTATAACTGCCATTTAGTCAAAATCACGGACATTTTTTATTTTTTGAACGGAATTGAAACCGAGTTTTTTGGCCCAAAACTCGTCCAAATTTTATTAATTTGCTGCTCCTGAGGGTCCGGCGTTCTTAAGACAATGGACCCCCTGGATGTATGTGGAATTAGCTTGAGAAGAGATACATACATCTAGGGGGAACCGCCTGGATGTATCTTGTCTCAAGCAAAGTGTCTGGTCTTAAACGAAGTCCACGTACATCGGGGGGGCAGCGTTTTGAGAAAGCTGGACCCTCAGGTGAAGCAAATTAATTAAATTTGGACGAGTTTTCGGCCAAAAAACTCTGTTTCAATTTCGTTAAAAAAATAAAGGGTTAATTTCAAAAATATTGCTGTTTCGAAGTTTGGCAGCAAAAATGTCGTCCCTTCGAAGTTTCCTTTGCAAAAATAAATAGAGGTTTCGTTGCAGCTTTATCGGGTTCCCGTAGTTTGCCAGCAAAAATAAAAATACAGAGTTTTGCCAAGTTTCACAGCAAAGGACCCCTAGGCCCCTGGCCTCAGGGACTCAGGGACTCAGCGTTCCGGCCTCAGGCACTCAGCTTTTCTNCCCTAGGCCCCTGGCCTCAGGGACTCAGGGACTCAGCGTTCTGGCCTGAGGCACTCAGCTGTTCTTTTTTTATTTATTTATTTATTTTATCTTTTTCCCACGGGCGTTTTTTTTTTTTTTCGGCCGTGGCCGAGGCATCTCAGCCGTGGGCACGCCCACATGCGTCGGCCATGCTTGGAAAAAAAAAACAAAACAAAAAAAAACGCTGAGTGCCTGAGGCCAGAACGCTGAGTCCCTGAGTCCCTGACGCCAGAGGCCTAGGGGTCCTTCGCTGTGAAACTGGGCAAAACGCGGCATCTTTGCTGGCAAACTATGGGAACCCAATAAAGCTGCAAAGAAAGTCTATTTTTGCAAAGGAAACTTCGAACGGACGACATTTTTTTGCTGCCAAACTTGGAAGGAGCAATACTTTTGCTATTAATCCAAAAAAAAAGAAGTCCATGATTTTGACGAAATGGCAGTTCTATTGAAAAGGCAACCAATCATACGTTGAAGAATACAAAAGGAGCGCGAAGCCAGTGGGTAGATGAGATGAAGCCTGCGGCGCAGCAACACGGGAGGATTTCGACTCTCCTAGAGGCTGCCGTCTTCGCACGAATAGAACGCCGGCCTGGTCATCATAATAATATGATAGCTGCTGTTTCTAGACCGGAAGTTGCCTCAAATGATGCAGCAATAATCACCGGGAAGTCTCTCGGGACGTTCGATAAATTTAAATTGGAATGATGCAGAGAAGATTGCTGTCTCCCTCCGAACACAACGCACCTCATTATGGCTGTACAGGAACGGAAAGATCGCTTGTATATATACATAATACATTCATTATCAGGGTGCGTTCTGTTCGGGGAAGACGGTAGTATGGGCCGGCCCTTCGCAAGGATGACACCCATATATATATATTAAATCGAAAATTGGTCCGAATTATCTGAAAAATGAAAAGAAAAAGACCCGGGGGCGTTCTATTCGGGTGAAGACGGTTGTAATGATAATCAAATATTTGATCATGCATTGTGAGCTTTCTGATCACAGGGCCTGCTAGTTGCACCGCTGGCCATCGGCCAAGATTGCGAATGCATTTGCACCGGGTACATGCCCAGGTGCGTTCTCAATGTTGGTGGATGGCGTGTCTTTTTTAATGCTATGTTATGTACCCCCTTGAACTTTTTTTTTTCTTTTTTGGATACCCCTGTCTGTCATATTACATTGACTAAATGGTTGTGAGCGTCAATCAGTTAGCATCACCGATACATGACCGATTTTTATATTTTTTTTAAATCCAAGGAATTATGCTTTCGTCTCTTTCGCTTGTGTTTGTGTGTGTAAACGGGCAGCAGCCTTGAGATATCATCCTCGAAGTGACCGGGCCCAGAGTTATTCCACTCCTCTGATTCGAACTCTTTCATGGGTGTACCATTCGGCCACATGGCTCGTTGGTCCATTGTGACAGTCTGCAAATACACGGTCTTCGTATCCCTGCAAGGGAATAGTCTTAGGGCCTCGTTCGACACCACGTACAGTGTAAGGATACTTGCACCACACCCTAATGATGGAAAAAACGAGCTCCAAACTGTGTCCACATTTTCAACTTTTAGGGTCCGCCCTTACAAAATGAGGGCGCCCAGACAAAACAAGGGAAATCTCTAGGGAGCCCCCGAGGTGACTTGAAATGTGAAATGGAGCGCGTTATTTTTATTTATTTATTTATTTTTTGGGGGGGAAAGTAGCGCGTTATTCACGGAGCCTGTCTTTTTCTTTTTTTTTTCTTTTTTTTGGCGAAGTTTTTTTTTTTTTTTTTTTGGCGAAGCATGGTTGTTCCTGGTCCAAAGCGTTCGTGTCCGGTCCTCTGCCCGGGACAGTGGCAACGACGAGACCCAGTACTGCTGCCTCCAGTGCCGTTGCGAGGTATTGGTAGCCATTGGCAGGGTACGAAGGTCTCACGAGCTGGAAGCGGCGGTCGTTCCAATTCGAAATCTGCAGTTCGGCAGCGGCGCCCCTGCCAACGGCCAGTCCATGGTGGGGTGTCCACAGAGGGCAGGACACAACCTTCCTCGGCGCCGGCCGATCCATGTAAATGGCCGCACCATCCCGCACGTGTACCCATGTAAATGGCCGCACCGTCCCGCACGTGTACCCAGATGCCTTGTCATTTTCACCACTGCCTGGCGGTGCACTTGTCTTCGTCTCGCCTCACGTGCGCGCATGGCAGACCTCCTCAGGAAGACTGCTCCGCTGGCATTTCTCCTTGTGGCTTTGCTGATCGTCATTCTGCTGCAACTGTGCCAGTTGTTGAAGCACAGCAGGGCTTCTCCGCCGAAGAAGGCAACGAAGAAGGGCGCCTGAGGAGGCAAGTAGAGGAAGGGGATGGGCGATGATAATCTGCCTGCGTGGCCCATGTATGGGATTGGGGGGGGGGGGGGGGGGCAATGGGGTTCCCGACGGAATGCGTCCCTGATTTGACCCCGCACTGTACGCCCATCTTCCTCCTTACATGCAGCCTTTGCCAGATGATGACGAATGGGTGCCGCCCCCTTCAACCCTCCCTCTCGCATGGGGGTCGACACAGACCTCCTACGATTCTGGGGGCAGAGCAGATGAGTGTGGCACTGGGACGGGTCCGATGTCCTCCCTCTTGGCGGGAGCGCCGGGGGGGGAGCCTGATCCTCTGCAGGACTGCAACTGCATTTGTCGCCGACGTGCACAATGGATGTGTCGATGTAGCGGACCTCGGGTTAGCCTGCGAGACCAGCCCCTTGGCCTGTTCTCACAGGCCTGTGTTATATTCGGGGTAGGCCAGTCCAGGCCGGTACCTCTGTCGGCACCAGCCAGTCCAGTCCAGTCCCATCAGTCCGCTGGGGTATACCCCAGCCATTGTCTGTTTTCATTCTCATTCCTCACTTGCATATTTTGGAGTACGTGCGTTGGAGTCTTGCGTGGGGAGCTGCGTTGTGCCATCTTGCTCCCCCTTCTTCCTCCATCTCCATCTCTGTCACTAGCGGAGCACCACACCTGGTGGGTCCGCTACATTGGTATCGGAGCGGGAACGGTCCCTGCACCCACCCACCACACCGCACAGCAGCGAAATACGGCAAAACCCGACAGTCGGGTTTTCGGCTGTTTTTGGGGCGTTTTCGGGCAAAAAAGCGGAAAAAACAACGAGAAAAGGTGTTGCAGCAGGAGAGCTCCACGTGACGAAAAAGGAAGCCGCATCACGACGCGTGCGCGAAGGCCAAGGCCGCTGCACGTGCACGCCCACGCTGCCCCGCTGCACCGCCCCGCCCCGCCCCGCTCCCGGATTTATATTATCAAGATCCGGGATGCAACTGCTGCTGTTGGGGTTTGAACCCAAGCACTTGCTGAGCCATGCGCGTGTCTAAGCAACCTTATAACACACTCACCACAGTATGTCCATGGCTTTGGAGCACGGCACACTCGTGTTGAAGAGGTGTCCTGCTGGCTATTTACCCCCCCCCCCCCCCCCCCCCCCC